ATATATTGCAGTGTTTCTCCATAGTCCCAACTAGCCTGGAACTCACTACGAGGACTTGGGTGGCCTGGATCTCAATAGAGATCCTCCTGCCTCTTCCTCCTAAGTGCTAGGACTAAAACCATATGCCATCATGTCCCATTTTCTAAGTCTTCTAAGTCACAGAATGTTGGATGTTTTTAGTCTCTAAAGTAAGCTTCAGAACACAGCTCTCTTCTCTCTTCTCTCCTCCCCTCCCCTCCTCTCTTCTCTCCTCTCCTCCCTGCCTCCCTCCCTCCCTTATTCTTCTGGCTTTCTACAGGCTTCTTTTCCTCCTCAAAGCAGACCATAGAAACTAGAACTTTTCATCCACAAGGCAGATCACAGAGACTAAAACTATATTCCAATCTTATCCTACTTTTCTTAGAGCAGGCCATAAAGAAATGCCCTAATCTTCTTTGATAATAGACCCTCTTAATTTCAGAAGGATCATACCCTATACCCATGAGGAAGAAACACTGAAGAATTTGAACAGATAGGCCTTGCTGGGTTTCTTCAACCAGTCTATTAGCAATTAGGCCTATGCAATGAAATCTCCGCAAGAACCTAAAAGGACATGGTTTGGAGAGCATCCAGATTGCTGAACTGGTACATCCAGTAAGGCCATGGGAGCTTCACATACCTTGCTCTATCATCTCTTCACCTGTATCCTTCATTAAAAATAAAACCAATAAACATGTTTATGAGTCTGTGAACCACTCAAGCTAATTAACTGAGCAAGAAGAGGGATTATAGGAACCTTGATTTATGGTCAGTTGGTCTTAAACACAAGTAAAACAACCTGGTGCTTGTGACTGACATCTGAAGTGGGTGGGGTAGTCTTGAAACTGAGCCCTCACTCTGCCGGATTTGGTGTTCTCTCTAGGCCAATACTCTCATAATTGAATTGGATTAGAAGACACACAGCTGACTTCTGCTGTAGAATTGCTTGCTTGCTTATGTGTTGGTAGACAGAAGGTCATTTTCCATTTTGGGATCACAGAAGTTTTTTTTTCACTATTTTATGTTTTTTATGTGTATGAGTGCATTGTCTGCATGTATGTAAATGCACCCATGTTGTGCAATGCCCATGGAAGTTGGAAGAGGGTGTTGGACAGACTCCCCTAGAACTGGAGTTTCGAGCAGTTGTTAGCCTCCATGTGCATGCTGGGAATCGAACCTGGGTCCTCTGCAAGAGCAGCTAGTGCTCTTAACCACTGAGCCATCTCTCCAGCCCCAGAATTACAGAAGGATTACAGAAGGTTTCTGGGTTTTTTTGTTTGTTTGTTTGTTTGTTTGTTTGTTTTGGTCTTTTTGAGACAGGGTCTCCCTGTAGCCCCATCTGGCCTGGATCTCACTATGTAGACCGGGCTCTTCATTTTCATGACAGATGTGGAGTCACACACATTTAATACCAGCACTTGGGAGGCAGAAGCAGACAGATCTTTGTGAGTTCCAGGCCAGCCTGGTCTACATAGTGAGTTCCAGGCCAGCTGGGGCTACAGGAAGACACTGTCTCAAAAAGACAAAAAAGAAGAATGTTCATTTTTCAAGGAAAATAAAAGGAGGGGGGAAGTGAAGTCTGAGAGTACAATGTAGCCAGCCTTATCAGCTCATAACACTAGATACTCATTTCTGTTAGTTAATAACGGTAAAAAGAATCTCAGGGGCTAGAGAGGCAGCTCAGCATTTAGGAGCACTGTCTGCTTTTGCAGAGGACTCAGGTTCAGTTCCCAGCACCCATGTGTTAGCTAACAACTACCTGTAACTCCAGTTCTAGGAGATACAACACCCTCTCTGCCTTCATGGGTATTGCACACATGTGATGCATTTACGTACATATGTGCAGGCAAAACATTCACACATAAAATAAAACAAAAACAAATTTAAAAGTTGAAAAGAACCTCAGCATAAATTTTAGTAAAAACTTTATACCTGTATTTCTAACTAAAATGATCAGTATGTTTTCCTGCTACATTGAATGTATGAATTTTCTTAGGTAATAAATAATATAGTGATAGTTTTCAGATAATTATTGACCAGTAAGACAGGAAAATGACAAATTAAAGGGAGGCTTGAGAAAAGAGAAAGAAAGACAGAAAGAAAGAAAGAAAGAAAGAAAGAAAGAAAGAAAGAAAGAAAGAAAGAAAGTTACATAAAAAACTTATAAATGTAGGCCAGGCATGGTGGTACATTCCTTTAATCCTAGCACTTAGGAGGCAGAGGCAGGCAGATCTCTATGAGTTCAAGGCCAGCCTGGTCTACATAGTGAGTTCCAAGCCAGCTGGGGCTAGAGGGAGACCCTGTCTCAAAAAGACCAAAAAAAAAAAAAAATCCATAGACTACACAATATCAAGCATGAATCCTGATGTAGACTATGGACTTTGGGTGATGATGATGTGTCAATAGAGAACCATCAATTATAATAAACACTGCTCTGACATTGGATATTGACAGTTGGGTCAGAGGGAAAAGAAACTCTCCCAACTATCTAATCAGTTTTGCTGTGGTCCTAAAATTGCTTTTGAAAAATTAATGAAGAACGTACTCAGTGGATTTCAACTATAATTCAATATCTATTCAGTGGACTTCGGCTATAATTAAATACATTTCTTCCATATTCAAATGTATTATAAATATAAAAATCAAATCGGTAGCTGCTCTTCTCTTGAATGCAAAAAATTATAATAAAAAAGCTATTATAATAACTTCAGTTTTACCCTAAATTAAAGTGTAATTGTGCCAAAAACTAAAGTATTTTTAGCTATAATAATTTAAGAAATATCAAACAGGAAAAACTCAGATATAATGAAAACTTACTATAAATCAGTAGTTTTAGCATTTCACAATTTGGGGACACAGTGTGGTAACATAGAGTCCTAACCTTAGACATGATAACAATACCTGGAACAAGTTACCTAAATCTTGAATCTGTCTTCTCATCTATCAACTTCAGTTTAGTTTTGTTATGATTAAATAAAGATAACACACAAGAATACCAATACTCAATAAAGAATTGAAATTCTGAATCAAATTTAATTTTTCATCAAATGTTGTATTTTTTCTTAGACATAAGAGGTTTTTATTAATACAAAACAAATTATCACATGCCATACAAATGTCATATTTACAACTCAATATTGCTTCACTCATCACTGTCACTGTCTGATTCACTCAGTTGCAAATCATGTCCTAAGATAAAAAAAGAAATAGCAAAATTATAATAATTGAATGTTAAACCATTGATAATAAATATATTTTCTGTCTATCACAAATAAATATGCAAATGTCACATAAAAAGTAATTCTGTTTAGCCAGTATTTTGTAATTGACAGTAAAATTGTTTATCATGTAATTTAGTCATGTAACTGGTAAGTCAACTAATACTGCCTGGAAAGAAAAACAAAACAAAACAAACTTCAGCGTAGTTTTAGTATTACCTAACATTTTAGCTTTCTTTCACATACCAACATCACCCCTCTCTTTACATTACTGACTTATTACATCAAGAAGTGAAAGAAAAAAATGGTTTGAAAAATCAGACTATAGTTTTCAAGAGTGAATAAAAAGTTACAATATTTATTTTACTTAAGATACAAAACCATTATGGAATATGTGTCAAGAATCATTGGGCCAGAATGTCATTCAGTCGTGGAATGCCTGCCTACCAAGCACAAGGCCCTGTGTTCAGACCCTAGTGCTGTAAAAACAACAAGGAAAAAGAATAAGAATGTAATCGATGATTGTTTTTGTAACTTACTTACATGCTTAGTCATGCAGCTAACCTTTCAATGGAGAAGACAGTAAACAAACATCTAGTATAATGCCAAGTAGGGTTAAGTGCTAGCTTGTAGACAGAGTAGTGGGACGTGTTATTAGAGATAGTACAACTGCGAGGCTTCATGTGCAGCAACATCTGAACAGAGATCCAAATGTAGAAAGTCATAAAAAAATGGAGGAAGCGGGGCTGGAGTGATGGCTCAGTGGTTAAGAGCACTGACTGCTCTTGCAGAGGACCCAGGTTTGATTCCCAGCACCCACATGGCAGCTACAAACCATCCTTAACTCCAGTTCCAGGGGAATCTGAAGCCTTCTTCTGACCTCCACGGCATTGCACTACACAGATACACTCACATATATGCAGGCAATACATTCATACACATAAAATAAAAATAATGAATAAAATAGTTTTTTTTAAAAAAATGGAGGAAAGCAGAGTTTAAGAAACAGCTAGTGTAAATGCCCCTAGGCAGGAGTAGGATACTAGAGATTTTTTAAATTATATATTCTTTGGTAATTTCACACATGAATAAAGAACTTACATCATATCCACCTCAACACTCCCAACTCCTCCTGGATAACCCCACCCGCCCCCCCCCATATCCTCCCTCCATCTTTTTCTTCCTTTTGTTAAAAAATAACCCATTGAGGGGCTGAAAAGATGGCTTAGCAGTTAAGAGCACTGGCTGCTCTTGCAGAGGACCAGATTCAGTTCCCAGCACCCAAATGGCAGTTAACAACAGTCTGTAACTCCAGTTCCAGAGGATCCAATGCCCACTTCTGACCACTGTGGGCATTACATGACACAGGTGCACTTACATGCAGGCAGTACACTCATACATATGAAATAAAAATATTTTATATAACCCATTGAGTCCAATTAGTGCTGCCAGAATGTGCACAGGCATATGGTCACCCACTGGAGCATGGGTCACACCTCTGAAGAAAACTGACACTCTTTCCTTCCAGCAAAATAGGGGTGGGGCCTATGTGATGGGGGGCAGGGACTAAGAGAGGGTCTCCCTGTAGCCCCAGCTGGTCTGGAACCCTCAATGTAGACCAGGTTGGCCTTGATCTCACAGAGATTCACTTGCCTCTGTCTCTTGAGTGCTGGGATTAAGGTGTATGCCACCACACCCAGCTATGCATATGTGGTTTTTTTTTTCTTTTTGAAACAGGGTCTCCTTGTAGCTCCAGCTGGCCTGGAACTCTCTACATAGATCAGGCTGGCCTGGAACTCACAAAGATCTGCCTGCCTCTACCTCCCAAGTGCTGGGATGAATGGCATGCCCAGTGCCTATGTGATTTTTGACTTGCAAGGACATTGTGGCTTGTGTGGAATAAGGAAGACAAAGGCAAGGAACTAGGTCAGAGAGATATACAGAAGGTCATAGTGAAGACTTTGGAGTTCATTTGAAACATAATGAGAATTCATGTGAAAAATTTTACGCAATTAACTTAAACTTAACTCCACATGAGTGAATACACTGTAATGGTGCAGAAGAGTCATAGAAACAGGGAGAAGAGCTGGGTCTTCAGCTTCTGAGTAGAAAATGCTACCAGTAGAGGTTGAAATTTCATCCTTGATGCTCTGTAGTTTAAGCGCTGTTACACCTTTATTGTTACTTACCCAGTTTACTATCTGGAGTAGATTCATGGCTTTCTTCAGTTCTAGAAAGTTCTAAGGACTGAGTTTTCATATCATTCCTTATTACTCTTTCATAGAATTCCTAGTAAACAATGTTTAACTTTTTTCCATCTATTTTCCTTATATCAAAGCTGTTCTCTCTCTTTTTTTTTCTATCTTGTTATGTATGATCTGGAGTAGTTCCTTAGTATTAGCTTCTATTTCACTAATTCATTTTTCATCCATGTTCATTTTGCCTATTAACTGATTTTTTCAGAAAAAGTTTCCATGACCAGTCTATTTAAAAAAAATTTTTTAGCATTCATTCATGTGTGTGTGCACATGCGCGCAAGGACACGTTTGGAGGTCGGAAGACAGGCTGTAGGAGTCAGTTCTCTCCTTCTACTATGTGGATTCTGGGGAATCTAACTCAAGTCATCAGGCTTGGCAGCAACTGCCTGATGAGCCATCTGGCTGGAGCTAATTTTTTTTTCTTTAAAGTGCTGGAGATCCAAGGTAGGGCCTTGTGTTTGCCATGCAAATGCTCCACCACTGAGCTACTTGATTCTGTTTTTATAATCTGTTGGATTTTGCTTCATTTCTGTTTGTCTTTGTTTTATCATTGTCTTTTTAAAGTTATATTTTGGGTCTGGTATAGTGGCACATACCTTTAATCCCAGCACTTGAGAGGCAGAGGCAGGGGGATCTCTGTGAGTTTGTAGCCAGCCTGGGCTATATCATGAGTTCCAGGTTAGCCAGGGCTACATCATGAGACCCTGTCTCAAATAAGAATTATTTCTTCATGCATCTTTCTTAGAATTACATGTTTTTCTTGTTTCATAATTATGTTTGCTTATTTTGAGTGGGAAGTTTCTGTTTATCCCCACCCTCATAACCCTTATAGGGTTTTATGGTTCCCTCCACCTAGTTTTCAACCCCATTACCAGAAAGAGGTTTCATAATCATATCTGAAGATTGCTATCTCCTGAGTTTCTATCTCCTCTTCAATATAAGATATGGTAGGTACCCTTCAAGGAACCAATGAGTAACAAGACTGTACCACCTACGGCTTCTAAAACACAGCAGCCCCAGTCAGCATATAAATGGATTTGATTTTCGCAGCCTCCTTTCAGTAACTGAAGAACATCCTCACATCTAATCCTTCCCATCCTCCCCTGCCTCCATCATACATCCTCTGGCTTCAGAAAGCATAACTGAACTTCCCTGCTTAATATCAAGCAATTCTGTGTTCCTGTGTACATGCACATGTGCACATACATATATGAGTATAGAGGCCAGAGAACAACCGCAGGTGCTGTTTCTCAGGTATCATCCACCTTATTTTTTTTTTCTTTGAGGCATAGTCTTTCACTGACCTGGAACTTGCTTAATGAATTAAGTTTGCTGGCCTGACAGCCCAGGATCTGCTTGTCTCTGTTTTCCCAGAGCTGGGCTTACAAATATACACCACTGCACTCAGCTTTTTTAAAAATGTAGGTTCTAGGGATCAAGTTCAAGTACTCCAGGCACTTTACCAATTGAACTACCTCTCCAGCCCATTATTAGAAGCACTCTGTGTGTGCATATATGTGTGTGTATGTGTGTATGTATGTACATGGAGACCAATCAACAGCTTCAGGTGCCATTCCTCAGGTACCAACTACCTTGAATTTTAGACACGGTTTCTCACTGGCCTGGAACTTGCCAACTAAGCTAGACTGACCAGGATCTGCCTCCCCAGTAGTGGGATTACAAGCATGTGCCACCACACAGAGCTTTTTACATGGGTTCTGGGCATTCAACTCAGGTCTTCATACTTACATGGCAAGCACTTTACTATCTTCCCAACCCCCTATTTCAAGCACTTTTAAGCTAACTTTCCTTGAAGTTATCCAAGCTCCTTACTCTGACCACCTCCTTTTAAACTCAAAGCCGTACCAAGCCCATCTTTATGTGTTTGTCTTCTAGTTCTTTCCTGTAGTTAGCTTTATCTTCTACTTGATCTGGCCATGTCTGGCTTTTACCTTTTTGTGTTTTATCCTTTATAACTATGTTTGGCACAAAGAGATCTACTGAACTCTTCCAAAGTTTTATAATGCAATGTGCTTCCACTTGGATTGAAGTCACTGAAGCTCCAGGAAAGGGAACTGTTATTGAGTAAATAACTAATATATGATAAATCAATACAGAGATAGTACTGATATTCTTGCTTCTATGTTCAATCTACTACAGAACACAGTCATTTCTGAGAAATATTTGCTCAGCTTCTTCTTTCTTTTTTTTTTTTTTTTTTTTTTTTTTTTTTTTTTGGTCTGTTTTGAGACAGGGTCTCCCTGCAGCCCCAGCTGGCCTAGAACTCACCACGTAGACCAGGCTGACCTTGAATTCACAGAGAACCACCTGCCTCTGCCTCCCAAGAGCTTGGATCAAAGGCCTGCACCACCACACCTGGCTTTCTCAGCTTCTTAATCAAACCAATTAATCTTTTTCTCCATGTTCCCTTGATCATTGCAAAAAATCAAATGTTCTATTTTTATCTCCCAAGTTATCAGTAACACTAAATAACCAGAAGTTCAAAAGATCTTTTCTAGTCCCTAATTAACTCACAGTTTTACTCCAACCCTCTGACACTCAGTCTTGGCTCCTCCACTCCTTAGCTCTGTTACTAGGCTAGTCAGTCTGTCTTAGCTCTTTATTTTTTTCCTTAATAACTAGATAGTGAGATCAGTTTTTGTTTGTTTCTTTTTTTATCTTTTTGAGACAGTGTCTCCCTGTAGTCCCAGTCTGCCTGGCACTTGCTATGTAGACCAGGCTGGCCTCAGTCTCACAGAGATCCACCTGCCTCTGCCTCCTGAGTGCTGATTGTACCACCAAACTGAGCTGAGATCAGTTTTAAAAAACATAAGGTCTCCCCTGGTTGGAGAGTATCAACCTTCACTCAAAAGTCTTTACCTAAATATCAATTTTGTATCAGGCTCTAGACTAGGTGCTAATATTTAATGATAAGCAAAACCAAACAAGATCCCTGTCTCTATGAGCTTATACTCTATAGGGAGAGGGCAAATCATATAAATAAATAATATAAATAAATACAAAGGAGAATAGAACGGTTAGAGGGGAAGGAAGGCTCCCTTCAGAAAGTAAATACTGAACTGTAAAGGGAAAAGTTTAACTACATGAAAAGAAGGAAATGTTTTGGCTTAATGAATAGTACATAGCATATATATGCATATAAGACACATATATAGCATATAGGATATATATCATAAAGCAGTAAAAAGAAAGCAAATGTTGCTAGAAAAGAAAGAGAAGCAGACCAGGGGTAATGGCACATGCCTGTAAGCCAAGCACTCAGGAGGCTGAAGTAGATTTTCAAATTCCAAGCTAGCCTGGTATACAGAGCAAGACCATGCTTTAAATAAATAAATTTTAAAAGGGGGACTGGAGAGATGGCTCTGATGGCACAGAGGACCTGCATCTTATGAATTCTAGCACCCACATGGCAGCTAACAATCATCCCAAATTCCAGTTCCAGGGGATCTGATGCTCTCTTCTGTCCTCCGTGGGCACTGCACGACACAGATGCATCTATATACATGCAGGCACAATACCCATACACACGAAATAAAAATAAGTTTTAAAAATTTAAAAAGGAATTTGGGAGACAGTTCAGTGGGTAACGTGCTTGCAGCACATGAACTAGAACCTGAGTTTCAATCCCCAGCATCCATGTAAAAGCTGAGCACAGCAGCATATGCATGTCTGCAACCCCAGTGCTGAATCCCTGTGTTGAAAGATCACTGGCCAGACAGTCTAGACAAATCAGTAAGCTTCAGATACAGTGAGACAATCTGTCTCAATAAAAGGGTGATAAGTAATAGAGGAAGACACTGGAGGTTAACCTCTGACCTCCACATGCATATGCACACAAATGCATGCATACTTGCATACACACATACACATGAACATATCCATAATATGAACAAATACATAAATAAGTAAATAAGTAAGCAATGCAATTATGCTAAAGTCTAATCTCTATCCCAAAAGAAACAGCAAATTTAAAAAATCTAAAGCATAAGAGGTGAAAAATTGTATTTGAATCATGAAAAGATCAACATGGCTACAATATGCATAATGGTCCTGACTACATGCACAAGACCTACATTAAGATCAAGCCAGTCAAAATTTCAGCATAAATGGAGAGGGCCTCATGAAACCCCACCCCTAGATAAGGAGACATTGGCAATAGATGGCTAATAGGAGAACGAAAGTCCTTTTCTTTTCAGGGATGCAGTCCTGGGTATATTGCCCATGCTCCAGTGAATGGCCCTACACCAGTGCACATACTGGTCACCATTTGGTCTCAGTGACTGGTTTTTTTTTTTTTAAAAGAAAGAAGTTGGGAGGGAAACCTGGTGGGGGGGATCTGGAAGGAGTTGGAAATTGATCAAAACACATTGTATATATGCATGAAATTCTAAAATTTTTAAATGGCCTTTAATAGATAAGGGTACAAAATTGTTGCAGTAATTAAAATAAGAAAAAATGGTAAATCATAGACATGTAAAGAAATAGATTAATTTAGAAAATATTAGAAAACAAAAATCAATAGGACTTGGTTAAGGATTGGCCACAAATAAGGAGAGAGAGGAACTCAATCCTAGAACGCAGCCAGGCTTCTGCTTTACCTAGTAAGAGAAATAATGCCATTCTTTGGGCGAAAATGCAGAAAGCCAAAGAACAGAAGTGTGTTTTAGACAATATATATTTGAGGTGCCTTTTACTAGGAGATGAAGCTAGACATATCTGCCTAGGACTCAGAGGTCTGGAGAGAGACACAGAAATGTTTATTTATGGAGAGAGGCTAGACTAAAAAGAAAAAGGACCCATGTGTAAGCTTTGAAGAAGTCCAGCTCTAATAACTGAGCAGATTTTAAACTTGCAAAGGAAGATGGTTAATGGTGTAAAATACATAAGTATCATCTTCTTTGTCTATACTTTAGTTCACAATCAATATAGCTACATTGTGAATTCTAACTTTTCTAGTATTTATGGTTATTGCCTACTTACGTAAAGTACTCATCAGAAGGCCACTGTGGTCAGGAAATCTATTATGACTAGCATCAGTGTCAGGAGACCTGTACTGTGGTATGGCAGACATGGATGGATGTCCTGAGGTACAATTCCCTGAACCTGAAGGAGAAGATCTGTTCTCTTCATCTTCTGAGTCACTAGAACTACTGTCATCACTACTTGAAGATGATGAACTTTTGGAATCTGATGAACTATCACAACTACTCATCTGGTCCATTAGACTGGCTTCTGCCTTCAGTTCTGAAAAGAGAAATAAACATGTGAGTTAAATAAATAATAGTGAATAAGTACAATAAAATCTAAATGCATTTGCTTCTAAGAAGACATTGATAATGAATAAATAAAACTAAACACACATTTACAGGTAGTCAGCTGGGTGTTGGCAGAACATACCTGCAATTCCAGTATTCAGGAGTCTGAGGCTGGAGAATATCAAAGCCATCTTGGGTTACACAGTGTCTCAAAAAGAGCAGTGGAAAAAGAGACACAAGTAATATCTAAATCTAACTTTTCATTTATCTATACCACTGTAAATATATATAATGAATGAAAAAAGTAGAAATGTTAAAATTAAAAATGTATTTTCATGGAAATGGTCCTTTTAAAAAAATATTTATTATTTTTATTTTATGTATTCTAGTATATTGTTTGCATGTATGAAAGTGCATCCGTGTCATGCTATGCCCACAGAGGTCAGAAGAGGGCATTGGATTCCCTGGAACTGGAGTTAGGGAAAATTGTTAGCCTCCATGTGGGTGCTGGGAACCAAACCTTAGCTCTCTGAAAGAGTAGTCAGTGTTCCTAATCGCTGAGCCATGTCTCTAGCCCCAAAATGGTCTTTTAATTTTTTCTTACTCTCTTATGCACATTGCAATGGGATACATACATAAGAATTTCATTCTTTTATTTTTATTTTTATTTTATGTGTATGCATGTATTGCCTGCATGTATGTAAGTGCACTCATTGCTGTGCAATGCCCCCAGAAAACAGAAGAGGCCACTGGATGCCCTGGAACTGGAGTAATGGACGATTGTTAGCTTCCATGTGGGTGCTGGGATTCAAATCCAGGAAATTCTGCAAGAACAATCAGTGTTCTTAACCACTGAGCCATCTCTCCAGCCCCAGAATTTCACTCTCTACCTCAACATCCTTGAGAAAATTTTGCTAAAGCTTCCTTACCCAAGTTTCTGCCCTGTTTCCTTAATGGGAGTTTAACATAGTCTAGTATTTTTAAAAAGCCAATTCCCATTGTAGCTTTGGTTGTGAATTTTTTTAAACATTTATTATTTTTATGTGTATGCATGTATTGTCTGCAGGTAAATGAAGCCGTGTCGTACAATGCCCGCAGTGGACAGAAGAGTCTGTCAGATTCCCTGGAACTGGAGTTACAGACAGTTGTTAGTTGCCATGTGGGTACTGGGATTCGAACCCAGGTCTTCTGCAAGAACAGCCAGTGTTCTTAACCACTGAGCCATCTCTCCAGCTCCGTGAATATTTTTATGAACAAAATGTTTAACAATATTGGTGTCTTTAGTGTTTTTAAAAATCTTTTAAGACACACAAAATTTATGATTGGAAAGATTCTCAGGTATCACTGATCAACTTCATTTTTCAAATGAGGGATCTGGAGAGAAACACCCAAAGTTGTCAGCTATTTAGCAATAGAACTAAGCCCACTGACTCCCAGATCAATGTTTTTCTAGCATTCTATGAAAATGTCAAACAGTTGAAAAACTTTTATCCTGAAACACTCTACATAATGCTTATAATATGCGATCATGTCAGTACAATGCCGTCTTCAAATTAGCTGATAATATCTAGCCTACTACTCCCCATCCTCCCTACACTTGGCTTTCTTTCTGTTATTTGGCCATATCAAATCCATTTCCACCCTAAGTTTTTTGCATTAGCTATTTACCTTGCTCTGTAGAGGTATCATCCAGTTCTTTTTGTTTTCTCTTTAATTCACAATCTATACAGTAAAATGCACAGCTAGACAAATTTTAGCACACATCTATTGTATATCCACCACTAAGAGCAAGCTGCATCCCCACAAACATTCCCCTATGCTTTTCTCCATTCAGCATCTACCGAAGATTTTTGTCTGTTCTTGAACTTTCTGTAAATGGATTCACTCAATATGTACTTTGTATGCCTTTCATCAATATGCTTTGGTGTTTATTCATGTTGTTGAACACATCTGTAGCTCACTCTGCTCTGCTATTGTGACATCCATTATATAAATAAAATACAAGTTGGATATCCATTTTCTGTTTAGGGATAGTTGGGTTATTTCCTATTTTCAGTATTACAAATAACGCGGTTATGAAAATTCAACTACAAGGCTTTTGTGATACATGCATTCATTTTTCTTGGGTAGATGAGACAGGCATAGGTTTAATTTCATTAAAACCTGTCAGCATTCAAAGTGGTCCTACACTTTACTAGCAAGGTGTTAAGAGTCAGAGATGCTTCATCTCTTCCCCCAACTTTGTGCACCCACACTTGGTACAGCAAGTCATTTGACCTGTACTTTCTGATTGGCGTACAATGGCATCTCATTGTGATTTTAATTTCTCTAATAAACAATGTTATGAAGCAACTTTCACATACTCATTGGCCACTTGGATATCTTTGTTTGTAAAACACCTGTTCGAATCTTCTGTCATTTTTGTGGTCTTTTTCTTGCTGAGTTGAAAGCACTTTTTATAGCTGGTTCTAGTTATGAGTCTTTATCAGAAATATGCATTGTGAACACTTACCCCAAGTCTATTCATTAACACTGTCTTTTGATGAGCTACTAGATCTCTGGGAAATTGGTTTTCTCATATTAGTAATGTAGTTTCTTCAAAAGATTTCTTTCTAGCCTCTATTACATGTTCTGTTTTCTTTAAGGCATTTATTTCTGAATTCATTTAGACACATATTTGCCTTTTTATTTCTTACCTCCCTTCAGTCTCATCTACACACCAAATACAAGAAATGTGGGACATTTCTGTTGTGAGAAATTTTATCTTGGTCACATTGCACAATTCTTTTTGCATAATAATTGGATTTGTTAGGAGTTCTTTGAAGATTTTTTAAAATTTAAGCTTATAAAAGATAGTGGCTTATAGTTTTGTTTTTCCAGTTTGCGTATCAGGGTAATATTAGCCTCAAAAAATGAGCTTATCAATGTTCCCTTATCAATGTTAGTCAGCTTTCCATTACTGCAGCAAATAGCTGAGTTATCAACTTAGAAATAATAAGTTTTATTTTGGCTTTCAGTTTTAGAGGCTTCAATCCATGATCACACAAATCTACAGCTTTTATGCCTCTGTTGGGATGGGGAGTTCAAGATGGAAATGACACAGAATAGATGGTGAAGCAAACTAGTTACCTCATGGCTTAGAACTGAAGACAGGAAGAGGAAGTGGTCCCTTTCCATGTCACATCCCTAATGACTGGAAACTCTCTTATTCGGCCACACCTTTTTAAAAATTAGTTTATTCTTTGAAAATTTCAAATATGTATATATCCATTCTGTTCACACTTATCCTCTACCCTCTCATATTCTCCTCTCACTATCACCAAGCTATTGCCACAGCCCTTGATTGCCTCCCAGAACTTGATGGTAAGACGCTATTGCTGAAGACAGGATATACTTTGGACACAGGATTTGGAGGAGTGGAGCTCGAACTGACCTGGAAGCCACCTCCCCTGAAGGCTAGCTCTCATAGCTTTGGAGAGCACTATGCAAGCTGGTACATCAATCGATGATCCAACCCTAGCTTCAAGGCCGAAAAACAACATCAATGACCAACACAGCAAACGACACTGGTGCAGTAGTGGCAGTTTTATCTTGGGGGTAATCAACAGCTACCTAACTGGATTAAAGCCCACTCAGTGGGAGGAAACTCATGTCTGATACAGTAAACCTATCCAAATATACATAGCTGGAGAGGTCATAGATCTTACAGAAAACCCAAGGCTCTCATATCCCTAGATAAATGTAATTTCCCTTTTCTAATTCAAGCATTCAGGACCCCAGATTTCCCTCTCTTGGCACTGCATTAGCTGCATCCCACATGCTGTATTCACTTTTTACATTTAGTATTGTGCATTTATAATTTTCTTTGATTATTTTTCTTTAACCCGTGGATTAATTAAAAGTGTATAAATTTCCAAGTGTTTAGAGATTTGTTTACTGTTGTCTGTTATTGATTTTTAGTTTGATTTCATTATGGTCAGAACACAGAGACTTCAGGATTTTGTTTTCAATAAATGTATGAATGTCTTTCTTATGACTTAGGATATGGCCTATCTTAGTAAATATCTCAATGAGTACTTGGGGGGAAAGGCCTATTCTGTTTCATAGAGTGATGTGTTGGGGATGGGGGGAGGGGAGCGTGTTGGGGATGGGGGGAGGGGGCAAGCGCTAGAGCGAGGGTGAGGGTGAGGGAGAGAGAGAGAGGGAGAGGGAGAGGGAGAGGGAGAGGGAGGGAGAGGGAGAGAGGGAGATGGCCTGGGAGAGGGCCTCTTGATTGATTATTTTGCTCAGATTTTCCCTATCTTACTGATTGTTTGCCCTCTAGTCCTAGCTGTTGCTGAGACCACAGTGAGGCAGTACCCAAGCTCAACCACAGACTTATATATTTCTCTCTCCACTGCATCAGTTCGGCTTCATGAATTTTGCAGTTCTGTTGCTGGACATGAACATACTTGTCTTCCTGATATAGTAATCCATTAATTATTATTAATGTATCTCCTTCTGGTAGTTTGTTTCGCTCTTGAGTTTACTATATCTGATATTAACACAGCCACATGTGCTTTTCTAAGTGAATGTTTACATATTATGTTCTACCATTCTTTTACTTTAAATCTACCAATTTTGTTAGCTTCTTATAAAAAAGCATACTGTTGCTGGGTATGGTGGCACATGCCTTTAATCTCAGCACTCTGAAGGCATGTGGATCTCTACGAGTTCAAGGCCAGCCTGGTCTGCACAGGGAGTTCCAGGCCAGCCACCGCTACATAGTGAGACCTTGTCTCAAAAAAATAAAATTAAAAAATTTTAAAGTATTTTTAAAGAATATAGTTATATTCTTATACATTCACCCTCTCAACCAATTTAGTTAGAGCATTTATATTTAAGTTAATTATTGGTATATTAAGACTGAAATGTGTCATTTATTATTTGTTTTTTGCTTATTTCCTCTGATTTTCATCCCTGTTTTTCTTTTCTTTCATTTCTGTGGGG